CCGCCCGCCCCTGCAGCCGCAGCCCGCAGCCGCAACGCTACCCTGGCCCTGCCAAGCGGGGCTCCCCCTGGCGGTCATTTTCGGCAAACTCGGCCCTGCGCTTTCCCCTCTTCCTCTCTCTCTCTCTCTCCCCCGTCCGCCTTTTCTATTAAAAAGCGTCGACTTTAGGAGAGCGCCTCCCAGCGTGTGCGGAGAGAAGCGCGCCTGACCGGGAACGGGACCAGTTCGGATTCGACCGTCCGTGCCAGGACAGGAGCTATGCTGGATTTGCACGCAAAATCCAGTTTAAGAGCTCAGATTATGACCCGGGGGGGGGATCCTTCAAATACTACATATGTTTGGAATACATAAGAAAAACGAGGGGGCAGCCGTGCGGCCCTTGTACAGCCTCGATACCTTCATTAGGCAGCTGAAAAAAATCGCAATCTGGTAAACCCATGTGGCCATAAATTTTTGGACGTTTACTGTATAATTTTTTCAGCACCATTCATAGTTCTGGCCTCCCCAGGCTGATGAAGATCTGAACAGGGTCAAAAGCTAGTATTAAAATAAATACGCGTCTTTGCTAATGATGTGCAGCCTCTCAAAACTGATACAGCTGAGGTGCCTCTGTATGTTTTGATCCTGCCCTGGCAGTGACTGCCTCTGGCCATGGCCAGCTCTGACTTTCAAGCTGCCAGTTCTGTGCAGTAGCCCTGTTACCTGTGCCTTTTATATATGTAATGGTTCTCAGCTGCCTAATCAACATCCCAATATGGTTACGAGATAGCTTGGGAAAAGACAGTTCTTTGGAAAATCCGTTTGCCTTCCAGCCACTGTGCAGCCTGCAGCTAAGCTCAGAGAAGGTAGGGAAGTTTGAGAAGGGCAGCTGGTGTGTCCTAGCCCGTTCTGATCAGAAAGCCAAAGGACTTTGACCCTGTCAGCCCAGTATTTTTTCTTCATGCCGGCAGCCTTTGCTGGATGTCATGCCATCTAGCCTGCATGCTCAGCAGTGAGTCTTCCAGGCTGCATCCTCCACCTTGGGACCAAAGTTAATTGCAGGCCTAGTGCCTTTATATATGTAGTCCATAGTTTCAGCTTCTGTGCTCTTCAGTAATAGTTCTGGAGCCCTAGAAGTATCTAGTAACCATTATAGTTACATTTTCAACGTAATGGTTATTTCCTATGTGTCAAAAGTAAAGTACAGTAGTTACCTTCTAATAAGAATCTAAATACTATAAACTACAGTTTATTATGTGCCATCAAGTTGAAATGGACTTGTAGTGACCCTAATACTGTAGAGCTTTCAGGTAAGTGAGATATTTAAGGAATCGTTTTACATCCCCACTGAGTTTCCATGGTAGAGTAGTGATTTGAAGCCAGGGCTCTGGAATCCTAGTCCATCATTTTATCCACTACATCACACTGGGTATCTCATATAAACTATTAGCCTATGTTATAAAACAAACCCTCTTATCATGCACATTGCCATTGTCTTAATACTCTCAACACAACATGTGGAAGCAGCATGACCCAGTATTGCAACCATGCATATTCCTCTTTTCTCATCTGATGAGACTGTATTCCTGAAACAATAAACGCAACAGAAATTACAGTAACCCTTGAAAGGAAGTGACATCTCCCATTAATGCATCACCTTAAGATAGCCGAGTGATATTTCAGTTATTTGAGAAAGGAAATAACCATGAATAACTGCTTATTTGTAACTACTTTCTGGCAGTACAATGCAGAGTTAGGTGATGGCTTTATTAGATCACTAAAATAAATCTTTAACATCTGGTAGCTTTCATGGATCAAAGTATACTTCAGGCATGCACCAGTATCTTGTTGATAGTGCATAGAAGTCTCAGAAGTTCAGGGCAGATGGTTGTGTCGTGTTTGTTTCCTAGAAGTAAATTAGAAAAAGCACAGGTTGCACTGGAGGTTCCTGGCAGGTTCTGCTGGAGGAGGGACCTTGCTGAGTGCTGCAGCATGATTCCTGAAAACCAGACAGAGGAACCTTTCATAAATGGACCTTTTCTGTCCACTCTGCAAAAGGAAAATCCTGAACCCAAGCCATACCTATTAGATATACCTGTCATGCTTAATTTTTAAAAAATTTGTTGATCAAGTACTGTATATCAAAGACATGATGTCTGTTCTATCACCACGACCATTTAGTTGTAAGGGACAAGAATGCTATAGCCCACACATTCATGTGATCAGAAGCACTTTGTTAATTTATGTATATAGGATTTAGCCCTAGGTTGTGGGGGGAGGGGGGATTGAACCCTGGAAATTCAGTCCTGGATGCAGGGTTAATTTTGGAGTGGAAGATGTAGTTTCTTAAGGGCCATAGCTGGGCAAGTGAACAATTCCAGGTTCAGTTCCAGCTTAAGTTGAAGAAGGCATCTCTCCTCTTTAAAACCTCCTGGGAGGCTGCCAGATTGATATCTTTCCAGATCTAGTAAAAAGCAGATTTAAAAATGCTATCGAAATTGTCAGCAATTGAAATCTGACATTTCTCCTTCTTTGACTATACCCTTTATATGTGTTGTTTCACATGATGGACAACATGGATTTGCCCTAGCAGTTCTGCTCCACAAGAAGCTGCTAGTTCTCTCTATTCCCAACCTAAATGGACCTCTCTCTCTTTCTCCACTTTCTTCCTCTGTTTTGGTCTCTCTCACAAGCACAGGCTGGAAACACACAGTACAGTTTCTGCAAGAGTCTCTGCATGCCCATTAAGTGTGCCACGTGTATAATGCATAGAGATCTTAATCAGTCTTTCTGTGATTTTACAAAGTTGGTTGTAGCCAGGTTCTGTTTACAAATGTGCTCTTTCTCTAGATAGGAATGAGATGGCGGTTGGGTGTGTGATGCGCAGGCACATTGTTTGTTTTGCTCTCTAGATATCCCAGTTAAGCTTTTTGAGTAAAATAAATATACACACAGCGTAAGATGACAGTTTATGGCACAATATGTTTGTTTTTTTACCTACCACAAATGTTCCAACTGTTTAAGCTACAAATGGTGGCACCTAGTGATAAAAGGTTGAATTACTCCTAAGACAAGCAGATAACAGCAGCTGCCCTTCAAAAAATAAAAATAAAAATAAATGCTCCTTCTTCCAAATTGTTTTATAAATGAGAAGGTATTCCATTCACAGGCAGTGAATCCATTACATATCTCTGTGTGTATATAAAAGGAAGCCATGTTAGTCTGTTTCAGCATATGGAACAAAAACAAGAGTACTGTATGTTTTTTAAACAGCAATGTTTTTTAAGCAGTATACATGAAACTCATATTTTCAAAAATAGTGGCATTTTACTCTGTCCCATTTTTCACACATCTTATTCCTTATTTTAAGGACTTAGAAAGAAACTCCAAACATGCAGAGTATTCTTCTGACAGAGAAAATAACCATATGAACATTCTGACTCTGAGTATGTGCAGAATTGCAATTTTTCTTTTCCTTTCTCCTCTTCTTTTTCTCTTCTTTCAAAAAGAATGCATTTTGGAGAACTGATAAATTAAAACGCTGAACATAGGAGCTTTTCCATTCTCACAGCTGTCCAAAAGGATGTGATTGTGATCAAAACATTAAATATTTAGCCAGGTAAGTGACCCAAAAAGGCAAGAATGGGCCAACCAAGGGTGCTCAAAATCAAAACACTAGTAAGATTAATTCAAGCTTGAGAGACCTTCAACAGCTGTTCAACAAGAAAAATTCTAAATGGCATATTCTTCTCCACCACTGATATTGCATTCCTATCATTTCTCTCACAATCAGCCATGTGTTATGTCTACGCAATTTTGCTCCCTTCCTACTCATCTTTATCCAAGAACTTTATGATACTTGAGTGGCACCTTGCTATTCACAGTGAAGGTGATGTTGCTGTTCATTCCACCTCCCATCATCCCTAACCATGTTAAGTGATGACAGGGATTGTGTGTGATGGGAACTGTGATCCAAGCACATATATAGAATGACAATATTGCTGTCTGTAGCATTCACCCTTATTAGGATAAGTAGACATGCATATTCATGTTGCAGGCTAATGTTCCTAAGAGGCGGAGCTGAGAGATATGTAAAAAAGAGACGGAGTCAGAGAGAGCCAGTCAGCCAGAGAGTCAGAGTGACAGAGAGAGGAGAGATCAGAGTGGAGAGATAGAGTGTAGTATTTGGGAGATCTGAGGGGTGATTAGAGTGAAGAGTGAATAAGAACTGATGATAAATAGAAGGTTGAGACTGATGAGAAATAAACCTGTAGAAGTTACCTATGATTAATAATCAAACATCTGTAATCAATAAACAAGTTTTATTTAAAAGAATGAAGTTTGAACCTTCATCTTCATCCTTCCATAATTAATGTTGATTTAGTGACCAACTGGTGGAAGTGAGTAAAAAAGAGTACAGTATTAGTTTGCCTTCGTGTGCTCTGTCTTTGGGGAGTCAGGCAGGGGCATGAGGAGCAAACGCTACACTGTCCTTTTGGAGGACCAGAATATAATGAGCAATATAACCATCTATTTTATTTTCAAATTTTATTTATTTATTTGTTATGATTTATACTCTGCCCCTTTACTGGAAGCACTATTCTAAAGTTAACTCATTCTTCACATCTGTAGATACTGTGACCCATCTGTCTCTCTCCATCCATTCTTAAACATGAAGTCTAGTGCTCATTTTTCAAATCTTTGCTATTTCCATTACTATTACTATTACTACTAGTAGTAATTACAACATTTACAGCCTTTCTACTAAAATAATTGTGTTCAAGGTAACCAAACAAACAAACAAA